GGTGGGGATCCTGGTGCAGAATGAGTGCAATGTATCGCCCAGGTGGGGATCCTGGTGCTGAATGAGTGCAGTGTATCGCCCAGGTGAGGCTGCTGGTACACAATGACTGCTGTATGTCACCCAGCTGGGTTTGCACTTCAGTGATGGGTGAACTGGGCACCCTCCTGGATGTGAAGTGCTGTGAGATCATGCAGAAGGTGAAAAGTATTCTAGGAATGCAAGCAATTCTATCCTTGTTCAATTACTAATTCTACCCAGACTCATGAGTGACAAGTTCTGTACGGAGCTAAATCCATTTAAATCTGCAATGTAACACCCCCTGTCATGTGATTATGTGAGGGCTGCTGCATACCTATCGTGTTGATTAATTGATTGATTGATTCATTGATTAATTGGTTGATGGCTTCTCTTGCAGATCATGCCCCCTAGATAGCAGGCCTGGCAGAGAGGATGCCCCCCCGGAAGCGGACGCGCCCCGTTCTGGGGCTCCTGTGCTGTTTCGGCAGCAGCGAGCCCCCAGAGATCAACCTGAAGGACAGCGTGCCCCTGCAGCTCCTGGAGTTCACCGTCCCCATGCCCCCTGCCGACGAGCTGCACGCCCGCTTCTCAGAGCTGGTGGTGAGTCGCCCGCCCCGGAGGCACAGGGAGACGGCACCTGCCATGTTCTTTAAGCCACATATTGAGAAAGACGGTTTTGTTTTTCATTTATTTGCAGTTTATTTGCCGAGGGTTTTTTTTTCCAACACGAACCCCAGATCCGAAAGAGCAGAATGGTTTGGCCTGCACTGGGAGCTAGACATTGCTTCAGGGAGAGCTCTGTCTGTCACCTGGGTTGCAGAAGCAATTGCAACATGAAGTTATTCCAGTTATTACATCATTTGGACCTCTGTCAGCAACAGGGCTTTCCTGTAAATGTTGTAGCGTTTTTTCAATACAGTCAAAACAGTTAATACAGGTATTTTGTACTTTGCTTGCTCAAAGGGACACCATGCTGGTCGGGAAGGCATCTGGAGCCCTTCCTGTGCCTGTGCATGTGCAGGGGGTCGAGGGACAGAAGATTAGTCAGGGATAGAGGAGACAAGAGAATTCGGAACAGCACGAGCCGGAAGAAAAGGCTCATTCATTTCAGTGGTCCTTGAGCAGAGCGTACAGTAGATCAGTGTTTTGCGTTGGTGGTTGTCTTTCTTCCTTCACCTTTTGCCCTGGGCTGCAGGCAGCAGTGTGAAGCAGGGGTTAGGATTCTCGACCTGCGAGGTCAGCAGTTCAGATCCCAGCCGAGACGCTGGTGTTGCGTCCTTGGGTAAGGTATTTCGCTCACGTTGCTCCAGCAAATGCCTCCCTGTATAAATGGGTCTCCAGGTCATCGTAAACGAGATTTTTTTCCAGTTGACTTACTTGGTAAAATGAAGGAATAACAACGAGCCTTGGTCATCAAACTTACAAGGGTAGCAGTAGTTTCTCATTCCTTCCCGTTACTCGATTGCTTCGTGTAATCGCTGGTGACTTTTTGCTGTGTCAGATTAAAAGGCTGCTGATTAGAACCTGCCAGAATACGACATGGTTATGAAAATAATCAATTTTCAATATGCTGGATTGACTGATTGATTTACAGAGCCAGGATGCTGTAATTCAGAACTGATTAGCTCTGCCCAAGACTGCCTTGAGCCGAATAAAGGAAACGTTAATAACAATGTACCAAAACTAGAACCTTGCTTTGCCCTCTTATCCCTAGAGAACCTTTGCTCTAGAACCATGCTTCACACATTTGGCCCCGAAGAGAGCTCCTCTTCTATAGTTTTTAGTGAAACATCGCAGTAAAGCTGTTAAACCTGACTAAAAACATCACCGATGTCTTCAGGAGTAGATTGGCTTATGAATTAATTTCTAATCCATACCATAGACTGGGCCCTCAGACTACACCTGTCTGTTTTGAACTGAGATCAATCAGTACTTGCACAATTCGCAATTCCCAGAATCAGCTTGGATACAAGGACTGCCTTTTCTGGACGACAGCTTCACTTCCTGTGCTGCCGATGCCACCAGGAGTCGAACAAGCTCAGGCTGGTCTGGGCCAGTCTGTTGTTCTAACCTGTCGCAGTGTTCTGCGGCTTCTCCATGCCTCCCAGTGTGGAAATTACAGGATCTCTCCTCGCAACTAGAATCCCTGACCTGGAATCTGCCATTGTTACGCTTAAGACAGCTTTCTTTTCCCATTCCCCGAACAACTACTTAATCAGTCCATGTTTTTGGCACCTCATCTTGCAGATGTTAACCCCTGTATGGGTCAGCTACTTGGTTTGTAAAGTAACATGATGTTGATTAAGGGGGACTGGATAAAGGAGCAGGGAGAGATGTGTCTGGCGGAAGCCCCAAATTTTTCCTTTAGATAATAGGAAGCAGAAGATTGTCATCCCAATCTGCTTGTGCTTCTTTAGCCTGTGCCCAGATGTGAATGGAGCAGCGTGGGTCTTGCATGAAGCTGTTGGATCTAATCCCTGTTTGGTAAAAAGGGTTCTGTTGTTGACATGCATGGAGGCCAACCTGGCTGTTCTGTAGAACTGCCTGTGCTGTCCAGGGCTTCTTGGGGATACAAACGTTTGCTAGGATTGACCTCCCCAGAACACTGGCTCATTAGTCTATTCCTAATCTTCCCAGAAAAGACAAGCCACTGCCTACACCTTTCTGTTTTTAAACAGAACCACACAGAGGCCACGTGATACACCTCGGGGCACAGGGGCTGGCTTGGTTGTGTTCTCTCCTTTTCTTTTGAAGGACGCAACATTTCCCTGGACTATTTTAGTCTCTCTCCCTGTGGAGATGCAGTGCAGATGTGAGTAATGGCAAAAAATCAAAGGCAGATTAGTGTCCTATTTTCCCCACCCAACCAAATCCTCCTTTCACCTTTTAAACATAAATGGTGGATGCTGTCAGAGGCTGCCCAGGAAAGTGACATGCTCAGTTCCACTGGGTCTTCTGACCTTGTCCTCGCAAACAAGTTTCAAATTGTTCCCCTTTCCCTAGTCTAGGAGAACTGATGTACATGAGAGGCTTATTACAAAACACAGTCGTGTATCATGTTTTGCAGCTCCAAGCCAATAGACGTTCTCTGCCTGATAGCTCTGGCACTCAGATGTCCTTAGACACTCAGTATAGTGCCCTCTACATGTCCTTAGAAGTCCCACTGGTCCTTCGTAGGAAAAAGACATGAGCCAGTGCTGTAACATGAGTTGTAACTTTTCACATCAGCTCAAGATGGTTATGGCTGATCTCCACCAGCCGCGCTTTTGACTCGTTTCTTCACACACAGCCTGTGTGCTGCTGGAGTTGTGCGCCCACTGTAGGCAGTGCTGCAGTCTGCACCGGCAGCATGTGCAGCGCAGCAGCAGGGCAGTAAAGCAGGAGGCTCCACATCCTGTTCCTCAGGTCTGTTTTTCTGTAAATTACATGGAGCATAAAAATCCCATTATTGAACTATGTAATACAAAGTCAGTGTTTATTTTCCTTTATCCCATCCCAATAGGGTGTCCCAAAGGCCCACTTGCCTCCTGGACATTATGGGATGCTTGCAGGGATGCAGTCATTGTGTTTGACCGGTTGGTGAGGTCAGGGGCGAGGAGACACATGAGGTATCAAGCAGGATTATGTCCCTGATCCTGCTTGCTTGCAGTGAAATGTTTATTCCACAGATGGACAACATGAAACATGCTGATGAGGTGGAGAAGAAGATAGAGCTCTAGTGCTCCCCTCAGTCCTTCAGACAGCAACACCACAAAAAAGATCTGGTCTGGATGACTTTCTTATGTCACCGGTGGATGGCAAGAATAAAGTATGGCTAGGTAGCTAGGACAGTAATAGAATTAAAAGAAGAATTGTCATTTCATTCACTACAGGTATAGTCTGCGTACAGTAAATGAATGGCGTCTGATTACACAATGCTGTCAGTTTCTGTATTCTAGCATTTACACTAAAGAACAAAATGGCGAAGAGGCTGAGGATCTCCTGTTAAGCAGTAGGGCAGTGGAACAGGTTGCACTTCAGAGACACAATCAGTGTGGATCACCAGCTGCATAAAAAACACTACACAAGCAGAACACACTCGTGTCTGAAGGCCTGTAGATTTGGGTTTCAGCATAGTGCTCATTAGTCACATCTTGCAAAGCAGCACTTTAGCACAGAGTATTCTTAAAACTGACAACGGGAGGCACATCTTTAGAGTGTGGAACATGCTACCTAGCCATGTTTTTGAAGCCTTTACCTGATACGCTGTCTTCTTTCATGAACCAACTGGATGAGATCCTCGGATCATTTTGCTCCTAACTACCCCATGGGTTAGATGAGACGGATGGTCACCTCTCATCTGTCACCTTTTTCATGCCCTTATGTTCTTTTACGCCTCAGCTCATACCAGCCACTCTTGTACTCCCGAAGGAGAATGTAGACGTGCTTTCTGACAGGAGAGTTACAGTCGAGAGCTGGAGCAGTGCCTGTCTCTTTTAATCACTGCAGGCACGCAGGATGCGGAGAGTTCCCCAGCTGAATAATCCCAACCCCGCACCTGGTGGGTCCCAGCTAGCTGTGCTGGTGTGTGGAAGGTAGCTCTCCCTGCCCCTGCTGGGATTCTGGGATTCTGGGATTCTCTACACTGTCTAGATTTCAGAGGGATGTGGTGTCACTTCACTTACTCAGAGCTCAGAGCCTGTTACACTTGGCATCTTAGGAAATCCAAGTCACAGTGAGCTAGCACAATGATCCAGACCCCAGACATGCCACATACTGTATAGGCTTAACCACCTGACCCACATTGTATTGAGCTGCATTTGTCACACTGCACAGCCGACCTTCCACTTATTGTAAGAGCACAGACAGCCCAGACAAGATGGCAACTTTGTCTGGACCACGTTTCCCAGAAACCTCTGGGGGAATAAGCTGCTGCTGTCCGTCACCTGGTCAGTTGATGGAAGACAGTTGGTCAGGCAACAATGACAAAAGCTGGAAGTGGAAGCTTTCTGTGTCAGGCAGATAGAGGATGTCTGCTGTCTATAGGACAGGAGGCAGCACCTCTGTATGCCCAGGGCTGGCACTAGGGAAAGCAGGAAAAAGAAGAGCTTTCATGAAGATGGAGTCAGCTGTACAGAACTGTATGAGCTGCTTCTCAGCCATTACACTACACTGAGAAAGTCAAGCATCAATTAAAAGAAAACTGTTTTTTTTTATCTGAAGGCCCGATCTTATTTGGGGGTGTTTTAATGGAAACAGATTACTCAAAAAGTAAAATGAAGTGAAACATGCCACACATATGGGAATACTTAGCAGGATCAGGCAGCCACATGGTTGAGACAACAAAACGGCTTGGAGTTTATTTATGGTAAATATCTCAGCTCAACTGGAGTCTGACAAATATATCAAGGCAAGCAGCCCACTTGAAAACACTGGCTCTGTCAGTCCCCAGCTTGTTAAGGCAGGAGAGGGATTGTCTTTTTCAAATTTTAACTTCCTCATGCATAATTTATAGGCACTTTGAGGGTTGCTCCGCTGCAGTGCAGAAAAATCTGATCAAAGCCACCCCTCGCCTGCGCTGCCTACTGCACAGAGTTTCCACATCAATGACAGAGCCGGAG